TCTACAGACTGTCGGTTCACACCCCATCACAAGCCAGCAAAACACCCACGAAACAAAGAAAGGTCTGTCACAGCCAAAAAATACACTCCAGACACGCCGCTGGCACTAGAGGCACAGCATGGCCGAGTAGTGACGGCCCCGACCACTGCCGCTCGACCTGACCGGAGAAAACCGTAGCAGGAAGCTAGCGAAGTCGTAGTATATATCGTCAAATAGAACTGCCCGGTAAACCGTAGGCAGAGAGGGAACAGAGGACAACAAATATATATATCGTCAAATATATATGAGTTGGTGAAACTCCGACGAAACAGTTTGTCACAGCCCCTCGTTTGTTGTCCTCTTCTCCCTCTCTGCCTACGGTTTACCGGGCAGTTCTATTTGACGATATATTGTCACTAAAAGAGCGCACTTTGCGAAACAAACGGCAGAAACAAAAAAATAAAAAACAAGGGCACACTGAAACCATTCATTTTCCTCATTCTTCTTTTAACTCCCCCTTCACCGTGCCTCTCACCGCGCCTTCACCGTGCCTTCACCGTGGGGCACACCAAGTCCCATGGTCTGCCTGTATGGACAACCAGTGTTTCAGGGTGGTGCCCCTCCTCGTGCTCCTTTTCATGTTTGTGATACTCCTGGTCCTGTGCTCCTCTTGCCAAACTCCACCAAATTGGTGGGAGCAGTTCTGAGAAGGTCGTACATGGACTATACAGTATCCACGACCATCTTTGTGTCCATTCACTGGCCTTCCCGCCCATGCAGTGCAGTATACCAGAGCCACATTTGCCCTCAGACTCACAGTAGCCTAGCACAACGCCCTCCACTTGCTTGTCTTTCCTATCTACCATTTCCCTGAACACCTTACACCCTGTCAAGCAGCCTCTCAAGCGTCCGGCGGGTGGTTCATTAGGACAAAGCAGAGAAATTGTCATTGATGGACATCATCAGGTTGTGCAAGCTGTGGTGCTTGCTGATGAGCCTGACAAACGTGTACGCCCTCTTCACAATGTCCTTCACCCCCTAAAATTTCTGAGTGCCTTGCAGGAGAAGACTGCAGTCATGAGCAGGGCAACGAACCCAAGGAATACCGCCAACTTCTCAGTGTGTCGTCTGAGGACCTTCTTGTTCACCTCTGCACTCTGTGCAGACGGCATCTATGCAGTGCCATATCTCCCACATCACCTTCTCCCAAAACCTCACCGGCACTGGTGCAGTGTTCTTCCTCGTCATTGCGATTCTCCACAAGCACGACATCCTGCTCCCCAGCCTCCAAAAACCTCACCACAGGCCAGTTGCACCTTGTGGTGGACCCATCGGTAACATACCTGGAGCTGCCTTGCACTGCATCAATGGCCACACCGCTCTCTTAATGTGTATGAAGAGTACAGAGATAGCTTCAGTCCTGACCTGGCACTACCTAGACCCCGTGCAACAACTGCATTGTGCACACTTAAGTTGAAAGCAATGCGCGCACCATATCTAGCTTTCTCAGTGCATCATTGTCCACCAAGGTCTTGATGCACAAACCCGACCCTTATAAAGCCCCTAAATCTGCATCAGCCTCCTACCCAAAACTGCAAGCAGCCTTTTGTAAGCAACAGGGGATGGTTGCAACTCTCCAACACATCTACATGCCACTACTCCACTCTTTTCTTTACAGAATCCCCCTCGTATTTTTTTGAGAGCTGGTTAATGGAGGCCTCAAACCCTAATTCAGTTTCGGACCATCAACGAGGGGCTGAAAGTGGGGTTAAAGTGAGTTTAGAGCAGGGAGAAGGTGAGTTTGCAACTCGGGGAAGGAGGGGAGGGAGGGGCTCACAATTGGGGACGAGGGGCTTGTGAAAATGTGAGGGGGAGGAGGTCGCAATAGCAATTGGAGGGAGGAGCTTGCAATCGGGTGGGAATTGAGTACTGACAGAGGGGGGACCAAATGCAGATTGGACGTGGAAGGAGGTTGTGAACAGGGGGCAAGGGGTTCATGACTTTTGGGGGGGTGCGGGAGAGAGAAGATTTTGATCGGCGGTGAACTACATCATGAATACGGG